ACATTCATCTCGATAAACTGCTGAGCTGGGATGACATGCGCGACTCTGCGGAAAAGCCTAAGCAGAAGCGCCGTCACGCTCGGTTACCGGAGTCGGAGTTCTACACAGAGGATACACATGACATCTTCTCACGCATTCAGATTCAAGAGATTACTGACGATGGGACATACCAACCCGTCGAGGTAACGCAGAGCAACGTCATGGACGCTGGGGTATACCAACTTCACCAGGGTCTAGCGCGCCGCATCGTTGTCAACCTCACCCATACTTCTGGAGACACAATACAGTGGGAGGATGTCAAGTCGCTGCGCATGGGTCACATCCGATTGGTCGATGCAGCTGGTAATAGTCCTAACTACGGCTCACCCGTCAAAGAAGTGCCTGTCGATCTGACATCCCCACCTGTCATCAGGAAGAACGCCGATGGCACCACAAATGTCAAATTTGTAGGACGATGGGACAGTACCGCTCACGCGTCTCAAATTCTCGATCGGGCGACAAAGGATAACTTCCGCGTGAAAGTCACGCTGCTGTTCGACGTCACATCTTCCAAGCTTATCGAACCGATGTCGTTCTCCTTCGACCTCTTCGTACAAATCCGGGGCCGTTCTTACATGCGCCAGACCTCTCTCTTCTCGTTAGCGAACATCTGGAATACGGTGAAGGTCGTTCACTCGACAGTAGGAATCTTCAACGTTGCCATTCGCCCCACTTCCGTCAAGCGTGCGACAGATCTTTGGCGAATGAACACGAAAGACGACTACGTAAAGGGTGAAGAGCAGCTTGCAGGCTGGACGCCGCGCGGTGTTTCGCTGGTACGCGACTTCATCCACATAGAAAAGCGCCGCGCTCGAATCGCAGAGATAGAAACAGCGCGTTCTGTTTTGTCGTCCAAGGCATTGAGCATACCTGCTTCTGCACTTGCGTCCTCAAAGGATAAGCCCTTGGAAGAGGCTCAGATAGCACTCCTTCAACGCATGGTCTCGCTCTGGAAGACCAAGAAAGCGCCTGCAGAAATCATCCTCAACCCCACCAATCTTGAGCCTCCCACCAACGGCGCGGCCTTTGCGGCACGCTCTCCTTCTCCATCGCCAAACCCAACCCCCAGCTTGACAGCTACCGTCCGCTTCATCAGCAAGAACCCTAACTTAATGAAAGCGTCCTACCTCCTCACCCCAGATCCGACAAACACGCGCTGGATACGGCGATACGTCGAACTACGAAAGCCATATCTCCACATCTACTCATCAGACGGCGACGAGATCAACGCCATCAATGTCAGCACAGCGCGTATCGACCATTCGCCGCAAATCGCGAAACTACTTGGAGGTGGACAGCAAAGCAACGGACAAGGAAATGCCAGCGCGCACAAGGACGTTGTCTTTGCTGTCTTCGCGAGAAGCAACACGTACATCTTCCGAGCGCGAAGCGAGAGGGAGAAGATCGAATGGATATTGCGATTAGATCAAAGTTACTTCAGCAGCGAAGGAAGCGAGGCGTCGACGTGAGGACGCGTAATGAGTATTTGGCTGGAAAAGTTACATCTAAACATTCGGCGCCATGTGGATGGGTTTTAATTCTTGTATCGAAGTTGTAGAACAGTGGAAAGACGGTCGGTCGAGGTGTTGTTGTTGCTGTCCCCGTCAGGCTTTGGCGTTATAGTCGGGCTTTTGTATAGCTTTTCTTGGGATACCCAGAGTATAGTTGATACTCCTTTTGCGCGATAATTTAGCGTAGAGATTCGGTCAATTCAGCTTCATTGCTAGACTACAGCTTCGTTCTGGGTACGATGATCTTATTCTTCGTAGTGGTTACATCTTGCTGTACTGCGCGCAGCTCACCCCGCAAGCACTAGCCTGTTTCCAGAACCCCTCACACGCGATTGCCCGAGGCTAACTTGTCGATCGACGCAGCTTACTCGCACACGACCACGACGCCAATGTCAACCTTCAGTGGCACCATGAATTTTACGTATCTACTTGTCTATGACGCGATAGCTAAAATCGAAGTAATCAGGCAAAGCACACCCCACGATGGTCAACACACAGAAAGAGAAGACACAACATGATCTGGACGACCAAAAGCTTGGTTCGTACCTGCAGCAAGAGATACCCAATCTGAAGACGCCCGTACTATCGACAAAGATCGGGTACGGACAAAGCAATCCGACTTACTATGTCGATGATGCCGCTGGCACGCGCTACATCCTCCGGAAGAAACCCAGCGGCACTATCATCTCGCCTGTAGCACACCAAGTCGATCGAGAGTACAAAGTGTTGAAAGCACTGGGGTCTGTTGAGGGTTTCCCCGTTCCAAGAGTATACTGTCTATGTATGGATGCATCGATCATCGGAACAGCGTTCTATGTACGTCCCAGCCACCCCTCCCGATAAACGCTTCTGATCTGACGTACCTACTTCTCCATCAGGTCATGGAGTACATCCAAGGCCGTATAATCACCGATCCTAATCTCTCTACTCTGCCCCTCTCCGACCGTCGCGCAGCATGGAAATCCGTCATCTCAACCCTAGCGTGGCTGCACTCCATCAACCCCGACGCCATCGGCCTCACCTCCTTCGGCAAGAAAACCAACTTCTACGCCCGCCACTGCAACACCTTCTCCCTTATCGAAGCCCAACAAGCCCAAGTCCGCGACATAAACACAGACCAGCAACTCGGCCGCGCGCACCCGCATTTCGACGAAATCGTATCCTACATACGAAGTCACCTACCCCAGGAGCGCACCTGCATCATCCACGGCGACTACAAGTTTGATAACATCATTTTGCATCCTACTGAGCCCCGGGTGGTTGCTATCTTGGATTGGGAGTTGAGTACGCTGGGACACCCGCTTATGGATGTTGTGTATGTGACGGGTCCGTATTGGAATCGGGCTAGTAAGGTGGGGATTCCTGGGGGGCCGATGGTGCAGACGGTGAGGGATGATCAGGGGGGTGATGTTTATGATGAGGAGAATCAAGCGCAGAATGGGTTGCCGAGTATGCAGGAGTTATTGGGGGTTTATGAAAAGAAGGCGGGGTGGGATCCGAGGCGGGATCGATGGGACGTTGCGAGGGTATTTCATTTGATGAGAGTGAGTTTCTCATCTTCATCTTGTTTTGGTTGTCGCGTGGCGGAGAACTAGATGGATACAGAAAACAGCACAAGCTAACACAGATACCAGGGAAGTGTGATCAGCCACGGTATCCAGGCGCGAACCATCAGCGGGCAAGCCAGCAGCTCCTTCTCACATGTGTACTTCGAGAACACGAAACGGGGACTTGACGAAGCACTCCGACTAGTTCGCTCGATGAAGGACAAAGAAGCGCCCAAGAGCACGCTATAGTAGAAATCATACATTTCAGTCATGACCGCCACAACGTCATAACGGCCAACTCTCCACCTCCCCGCTACAACATTACGCGTCAAACGTGCTTGAAGCGCTGGCCAGTTCCACTCGTACCATACAACACGCATTCAATGATCTACATCTCCACCTTCCCCATCCAATGCTCCCCAACACTCCATCTTTCCCTCTCCACTACACTGTCAGAGAACGTACTCAGTCTCCACCCCATCATCATCCCGTCTCCACGCGCGGTATCTACTCGCCAAGTCCGCATCACTCGCTATCCGGGGAGGGAGGATACGTAGACCAACGCATCAATCACGCTCACAGCCCCAGCCCAGCGACAAAGCCCTTGCACGAATGTTCCTCTTTCATCACACACACAGTCTCAGTCAGTCCCATTCCCTTCCGATGTATTTTCGTGGCTCCCCATCCTCCCCATGTCACAAACGCCAATCACACCCACCCACATCCACCCCAAGCTTTCCCAAGGTTCAATTGCAAATCCCACGACCTGCATCCTAAATCCCCCCCCCCCTCCCCCAAACTACCAAGTCCTATGCACATACATGAAATCCCACGCGCCCCCCCAAGCCCGTCTTGGCTCCCGCGCACGCATCAAACAAAAGCGCTTATCTCAGAGCGCAGCGCGAAAACGCACGGGCCATATGCGGCAATTTGAATCGTGGTGTTACAGTGCAGAGGCATGTGAAATTCCGCCAAGCGGGCCAAGCTTTTTTGCTGAATGAGATGCGAAGGGCTGGCGCGGCCACTAGGATCTGAGACTGTTGGGGTGTTTCATTTACTGTGGCATTTGCTGTGTGGTACCTAGGTAGGTAGGGGAATTGTTTGGTCTGGAGTGTTGCTAAGAATGGGATGCCGATGCGTTGCTTTGATGATGGTGAGCGGAGTGATGGTTAGTTAGGTGCCTAAGGACGGGAAGTTACGTAGATGGATATCTGGCCGATCGTAATCTGGCTATCGTGAAGCTTGCGAAGCCATCGGGAAACGGAAGAAACCTTGAAAAGCGAAGACGAAAACACGATAATATGGTGGGAAAGAGCAACAAACGCGCGCATGCATTCGAACATTGTTTGTGGAAGCTATCTACAACTATCGGAACGGGTGTCTTGACTACCTTCAATATCTCCCGTCCTCCAGCCCCCATCAAAGTGCAGTGCAGCGCAAAACTTCGTGTCGAGAGAAATGAAGTATGTATAAGAAAAGATTGCCCGTGGTATCTGTTGCCCCTTCCCGATTTTTTATGACGCCGACGCTATGCAAAAGCCGATGGAGAGAGTAAAATGGATAAAACTCGGGGAATACAAAGAGTGATGGTGTGTGTGTGCATTACAAGTGTCTGTTGGCGCGCCCTAAGTCTAATGCTGGAATGGAGATGGAGAGTGTGGTGTCTAAACGAGGGAAGCCTGTAGACCTGCTGGCGGCTTCGGAGAAGGTACGGAGAAGCGATGGCGGAAACATGGGGGTATAAAAGGAGCGTGGTGCTTTTGATAGACTCACGACAGGCGTATACGTGGTGGTACAACGAGTGAGAGAAACGTAAACCGAAGAGAAACGCCGTTGGGAAGGAAGTTGAAAGCAGAGATCGCACGGCGGGGAGCGACGGTGCTGAGATTACTGGGTTTGGCGTTTAGTGGTCTGCAATGTCTTCGTCCATGCCGGGGTAGATGATGTCGGCGACATAGATCGCCTGTACGTGTTTGAATAGGACGAAGCACCACATCGTGATGATGGCGATGGTAAGGCCGTTCCCCACGAAGAGCACCGTTTCGTCTTTCAGCGCGTTGCCGATCGAGATGGTGGCGATGACGAATCCGGTGTTGGGGAAGACCATGGCCCACCATCCGAGATGGAAGTAGACAGCCCACGAGTTGATGACCTGGAACCGATGTTAGTAGTGTTATAGAACGAGACACTGTGGCGAACTTACGGCGACGAGGGTGATCATGAAGAACCACATAGCCAATACCCAAAGGAAGAGTGCGACAATGAGAGCCAGAGTCCGGAGTAGCTTCGCGTCGACAAGGCCGTCACCTTGCAAGTCAAAGTCGTCAGGAAGAGCGTTGGCCATACCGATCAGGGCCAAACAGGTGAAAGAAGGCGGTCCGACAGCGATAAACATGGCTCCTCGATGCTCACGATCGGGGTATCCGACTTGCATCAGACGACCAATATAGTGCGCATACATGAGAATAGCAACCGTGAATCCAAGACCCTGACATCCAAGTCCGGCAACCAGGATAGGCATTCTGGACGATACGGGCTGTGATTTGGCAATGACCGAGGCGATTGTACCCGCAAGCATGATAGGGAAGATGGGGAGCAGCCACGAGGGCATGAAGCTGGTAAGCTTGTAGGTGTGACTGCAGAACAGGAACGAGTACTGGAAGGAAGCCAAGCAGAAAGTGATGAAGGTGTATGCCCAGAAAGCGACTGCCATGGTAGTGATTGCCCACGCCCGATTCGGGTGATCCTCTTCGTACGCTTCTATGACATATTTCTGCGTTCCGGTAATGATTGTAGCGATCGACAGGAAGAAGGGTCCGAGGAAGAGTCCTTCACGTTCGTGTTTGATAGATTCCTTGAAGGATCCAGCGTACTTGGTGAAGCGGAGGACCATTGTCATTGTGACGGCAGTGAACAGCATGAGGTTGAGAATGTAGAAAACGGCGCCGATGGTGATGAGACCGGGGAAAGAATGGGGCTGGATGGCGATAAGCGTGCCGAGACCACCAGTAGCCATCGTCAGGGTGTAGTTCGCCCATGTGTAGTGCTTGAGCCGTTGTCCGAAAGTGAGGTATGGCTGGTTGGGATCCTTCCTGCCAGGGATCTTGGTGTGCTTGTCCCATTCCGAGTGGCCATCGGCATGCTTGTGCTTCTCGAGATCGATATCGTCCATCTGGGGTGGCGACTGAGGAGGTTGGTCCCTGAAAGGGTTCTCTGGCTCTGGCTGCCTCTCCTTCGTGTCGATGCGGTATCCATTAGCATCAACCGGACCGGGAAAGTAGCCTCCTCCATTAGATGCGTACATAGGCGCAGGTGTTGCTGCTGGTGAGTTGGCTGCCCATGTGTTGGTGCGAGTAGTCTCGCCGGACTCAAAGGAGAACTGGTTCTGTTGTGCGACCTGAGGTTGCGGCTGGTACTGATTTGGCTGTAGCTGTTGTTGCTCGGGTGTTTGTTGTTGCTGTTGAGGGTTGGACAGGCGGGAGTAGTTGTTCACATCTCGACTTGATTGAGGAGAATGTTGACGGGGTCCAGAAGGTAGACCATACTGTCCTTGCTGCTGAGGAGTTTGCATACGAGGTCCGGAAGGTAGACCGCCGTACTGCTGGCTCATATGGTGAGGCTGAGGTGGAGGTGCATATTGAGGTTGCTGCTGGTTTGGTGGGAGAGGGAATTGACCGTTGTTCTCGAAATTAGGGCTGAAGGTGTCTTTTGGTCCAAAGGACAGGCCTTCTGGTTGGTAGCGAGTATCCATTGCTGAAATGATAGAATAGGTGTCCTGCACCGTAGAGACTAAAAGACGGAAGAGACGGCAAATAAAGGAAAGAAACCAAAGAAACTATGACCACAAAACGCGCAATAGGGACAAGTATTGACCTGCACGGGGCAATTTGATAGAAACCCGAGAGGCGATGCTCGGGAATAGACCAGTGTATTAACACGCGCCGAGCGGGATCAGCATGGGTCAGCCTCTCTAGTATCGGTCCTGTTTCGAACTGCGTGCCAATCTAGCGCAAATACCTCTGGCAGCTAGTCAATGAGGCTCCACGGAGTCATGGTGGGATCTCAGAGTGCTTGGCGAGGACGAAGTGTTGCGTACATCCTCCTGGTATCCACATCAAAGCGTCGAATAAGCTCCGAGCAGCGGCCAGCGCACGTACTCTTAGATAACGACCTGAGGTCCTCTTCGCTTCATCTAGTTCCAGGAATGGTAACTCCACCTTGGCGGTGCACGATGCGCCAAGATGTTGAGCTAGCTTCCGTCGCTTAGTACATTCAAGACGAATGCTTATCGCCTTCCATGATCTGCATCGTGGCTATGCTGCTTGCGTACCCTGTGGATAACTCAGTGTATGATGGATAGTATTCGTGCACTGCATCCACGTAGTTGCCATATTGCAGTTGTCCACTCAGATTGACAGTACTGGGGAGTCCTTCCTTACTTCATGTCCGTCATACATAGACATCTTACCTGTCATATTTGGGCCTAGAGCGAACCTGACGCATCGCTTTCAGGGCAGCAGGACCGAATAGCTGTGACGCGGGCGTCGGCTTCGCGCCGCAATGCAGGGAGAGTCCCTTCGACTTGAGAGAACCCCTAGGCGGCGGGCATGGCGGTCTCCAATCTGGATCACCATGCGATGGTGCGGTCCGGATTCCTCCGACTTGACTAGGGCATGCTAAGCGCGGAACATGGACTGGGCAACGAGAAAATAACATGCGGCTCAAGCTGTCGAGGGACGGTGATTCGTGGTGCCAAAAAGGCAGGACGCAGGCCATCTGACTAAGGGCGCGCCGAGACATGGCATGCTAAGGCATCTGTGCGCAGTTAATGCGCACGCTAAGGTAGCGCCTTAGCAGATTAATTACAGATTGTTCTAGGAACAATCCTACCTAAATAATAACAATATAACTCTACTAAACCTCTCTACTAAACTACGCTACCTATAATAGCCTACTAAATCTAGAGTATACTCTAAAGAAATGTATAAACTATTCCTAGATTAATCTATAAACAATTCTAACAAATTTAGCCTGCTTACAAGCAATTTCTCTAGCTTAACTAACACCTATTTAGGTGCCTGCCTTTTCCTACTAACGCGTAGGGTAAACCTATTATCTGTATAGGTTAGCTATACTACTGTATTAGAATCTAAGGCAGAATTCTTTATAGAGTATAAATTGTTCCTAGATTGTTTCTTAATTGTTTCTAATATTTCTTCTAGCAGAAATACACAAGTTGCGCTGCGCTTAGAAACTATCTACACTAAGCTTACTAGCTAAGAATAGTGTTTGCTAAGTAAGTTAGAAATTCTACTAACGCCTAGATCTAAGCCAAGATGCGTAAGTTTATTTAAATTATTTCTTAATTAATTCTTAATTAATTCTACCTAGGTTTCTATATTTAGATTATAGCTACTTACAACGCTATCGCTAACCCCCCCGCTAACTCTTCCGCCTCTCCCGCTAACTCTACGCCTGTGTAGGCTCCTGCCTAGCTAGAATCTAATAACAAGTCTAAGTTAGATTATTTGTTAAACGATTTGGACTATAAGTTAGATTAATTAGCAAATAATTTAGACTATAACAATTTTAAGAACTCTGCTGCTGCACTAGATAATAAGGAAGAGAAGAAAGAGTAGAAAGACTAGAAACACCCTCTCTAGGACATTGTCTAGGTTAATAATTTAGAGGGAGGATAGGTGAATTATTTCTTAAACGTTTCTAAATTGTTTCTAACTTTTACAGCTTAACTTTACTGCTATAACTAATATAGTTAGAGACTACTATAATAATTAGCCTAAAGATGAGCTCCCCTACTAGGCGTGCAACATTAATAGCCTAGACATAGACTATGTTTAAGGTAAGTTTTATTTAGATTATTTCTAGAACGATTTAGAATTATTTCTAATAGATTTAGATTATACCTTCTTCTAGGATAAAGAGAACGAGTGCAAATCTCGCTAGTTCTTCTTGTACTTTCCTTCTAAGCGTTTACCTACTCTCTCTAAGGGTAGTAGTTCTAGTAGGTAGTTAGGTGCTATTTCTAAGTAAATTGTTTCTAGAACAGTTTGGGATTAATTTAGTATAAAAAGATGTATAGTACAAATAAAACAAATAAATATTCTACAACTCTCTCTCTACTATATACTTTGCAAATAAGTACTATTATTATATTATTAATAAGAATAATATACTATATCTTACTTAGTAGAATATACTAAGTAAAATATAGTTAATTATAAAGC